AAGTTCTCTTACTTTAACTTTATAACCACTGAGCTTTTGTCATTTACTTCAAGTCTACTATTTACATGCAGCAATTATTAAATGTAGGAATTAAAGACAGAAACTGTGCTGGAAGACACCTTGACCCATCATCAGTTCACTCTTGAGATGAATGAGGTCCACATATACAGAAAGCTGACTCTGTAATGGAGAATTCTCTAAGTTAACTTGTATGCAGAATACTTTTTTTCCTAGAGGATAATGAAAAGGTACTAAGCTAGAGTTTATGCATTAGTTATTAAAAACTCCACAAGAACTGTAGCACTCACTGATAAGTTAGACCAATATCAAGATTTTTCTAGGAGTATTTTATTACTAACATTGCTTAGAAGTACCAGATTTTGTTGATAGTAACATGCAGACTGCTATCTTTGTTGTTGTTATCGTCGTCCGTTGTCTTTCAATTCTCAGGAAATACAGAACTTGATTCCCTGTACCTGGAAACGACTTCTCCCACCACTGACCTTTAGCTCCCTCCTGGCACTAGGCCTCCAGGAGTTTGACTTCGGAAGCCAGCCAGCCACTAGTCCCCGGTCTAGCTTTAGTGATCAGTGCTTATCTTGCTGCTTTCAGCCTGGGTCACTTGATGCTCTGCTTCTAGAGTTCCTGCTACTTTCCACTCTTCTCACAGCCGGCTCACAGCTTCTGCTCCCTACGGCCTTACCCAACCATCTTTCAGCTTCTACCCCTGCTGTGAACTGCTGACCAACTCTGCTGTTGTGCATTCCGTCACCAAGGGAGGATCCCATAATAAAACACTTCATGCCAGGCTCCCTCAGGGGCTATTAGCCCGTCTGGAGGCCAACTGCCCCTGGGCCAACAGCCAGACCTGAGCAATCAGCGATGGCCAGAGTGGCAGGACCATGTGGTCAGCCTTCCTTTGGAGGGAGCCCAGGTAAGGCAGGCAGGCATTCAAATGGGTTCCTCTCCAAAGTTCCCTTTCTCCCAGTTTTCCTTCTTTCTTTGGCCTGCCAGCTCTTGTGACTTCTCTGCTCTCCGCTTTTCCTCTTTTCTCTTCCCGTTTCCCCTCTTTCTCTCTCCGACAGTTTCTGTTATACACCCATACGGAGCTTCACAAATTTATGCTTTTCGTTAGCACACAGGGCCTCTTAGACTTAACTAAAAGCAGGTAAAAGAACTGGTTAACTTACCTCACCACCCCTCAAACAATTCTAGGTTGGCTTGTGGTTTTTAGTTACCCAATTATTATAGGAGGTCTCTAAATCTAATCTTTTAAGCACTTTGAACAAATTCCACCACCGCCCCCCACAAAAAATCATTATTGGTGAAACTTCATCAGCAGTCTCTTTCAGGGTAAACAGTAAGCTTTCAGGGTGCTTGATTTGGGAAAATAAGTGTCAGAATTTATGACTCCAGAGCCCTGCTGAGTTATTATTCATCATTCTAGCATTTTAACAGCTGTTATCTTTTCATTTTCACTCCTACACTGGTTTCCTTCCACATTGCAGATGTCCTGTAGTAGATATAACAGGGAGGAGTGACCGCATTACACAAGATAGAGAAGAGCAGTGGAGAGACAAGCGGCCCCACTCACACAAGCAGGTGGGCCAGGCCAGTCTGCCCTAATCAGCACACAGTTTCCTATGCCCTGGCCTTCTTTCTATTTTTATGTCTGAAAAGACAATCCGATTTAACAAGAAAGCTTATAAGAATTGCTTTTAAAAACCTAATTCCACCTTCCTAACATTAATTTCAAGTTTTATATTTCTCCTCCCACACGCATAAGGATTTTTCCCCAGGTACAGCTGTAACCAGGGACACGCTGCTCTTTTATCCCCAGCTGTCGGTAGACAAACTCTGTTGTTGTGGCTGCAGAAGAAGCTAACTGCTTCTCCAATACTTTGTGTAACCTAGCCCCATGCCCACCCTAACAGGTCACAAGTATTTATCAGTAAAATATGGTCAAGCCTTGAGGAGTTCACAACCTAGTGAGGCAATGAGAGAGAGAGAGAGAGAGAGAGAGAGAGAAATGCACCGTTGGTCTTACAAATGGCCACTGCCAATGTTCTCACTTCTTCCTTCAGTCTGTCCAAAGCGGTAAAGGAAGAAGAGACCATCAGTCAGGCAGGAGTCATAGCCCTCTGAAAATCCCAATAATCACAACCTTCCTGTCACCCAGGAGTTACTTCTAAGAACTTCAAATTCTCCCCAACCCTGCCACCTGTCAGAAAACATTTTTTTCCCTGATATCAGAGCCTCTACCTACCCCCTTTGCAAAGTAAATCCCTCCCTCAGCCTAATCTCCCTTTTCCACATTCTGGTCTCTCCCTGGAATGCCTTCCTGGCCCCTTCCCCTCACCTCCTTCCCATGGCACCTCTTGCTAGCCTTTGGGAAAAGAGCTCGAACTTCTTCCCTCTGGGATGGACTCAGCCCCATGGAGCACCTACCTTCAGGGCAGTAGAGGTTAAACTAACTCCCTACAAGGGCCAGGCAGGACAGACAGCATTCTTTGAATTCTGCACATTAAGTATAAGGGAATATTCTTTACTTTGACAAAGAAATATGCTCTTATTCCTCCTTGAAGCATATGGCCCTTGGTTAACCTTTCACTTTCACAATTTTGACAGAGATAGGAATTAGGATAATTGGGATAAGATTCATTTTCCTCCTAATTCTATTATAAGAAAAATAACAGTGCAAAAGTGGGGTTCAAGTGACAATAGACACCAATGTCGGTGAGTGGTGAGGGTCCTTCTGAATTATAGCGAACATAGGCACTCTTAGAAGTCCACTCTCCAGCCACTGCTTCCCCACATGCAACATGGTCCCAGTGTGGCTAGATCTTCTGACTTTCCAAGAGACAGAGATCCAGATATTTTTGTAAAAAAATTGTTTTTCGAATGCTGTCATTTAATTCAAAAGAACTTAAAATGCTACAGAGGCGAATCCCAAAAAGAATGCAGGGTGCCAGAAGACTTCCCAGGGGACAGTCTCTGGCACTGCCAAGCCCAACAGGCATTTATCTTCTTTTATTACATTTGCCCAACTTACAACAGAGTTCCATAACTATGATTTTTCCAAAGATCAATAGTCTATTTCTGTATTAATTCTCCATAGTTGTAGCATATCTGTGTTTCCTACCCTATTTCCATGGCATTAATTAAAGTATTAAAGTCAAATTACCCTCCTCTCCCTCCTCTCTTTCTCCCTCCTCTGCAAAAGGAGTTAAGACATAGTGCTTTTAAAAACCAAAGCTTGGAGTCAAATTAGTTTAGATATTAAATTACAGTAGCTTCATAGAGTTCTCTAGAGTTTCTAGAATTTTTACCAGTAATCTTACTGTAAATCCTTGTTCAGGGGAGAACGGAGTAAACACGGTATGGTTAGCATGCACGCACACACCCCACAAACAGCCCTATGATGAAAACTGAAATCACAGTATGTGAGTCACTTAGCACTGCCATGTGCCTTCCTTAAGCCTAAGGAGCTCGATGCAGAGGATTTTCCCATTTCTGAACTCCAACCATTTAGCACCCTCCCCCATCAGCATTTACTCTACATTTTTATCCCAACTGTATGTACATCTGCCTTCCCTGTAAGAGCAAGGACTGTAGCTCTTGACTGTATCACCAGGCCTGGAACAGTGCCTTACACACAGTTGGCTAAGCATGACGTATTGCATAAGCCATTATCATCACCCAAATAGCTACTATTTCCAGATCATGTACTAGGGGCTAAGAAGTTTACCTACATTATCTATCCTAGAGGCTTTCCCAGACCAGACCATCCGATCCAAAGCAGCTGCCAGTCACCCTCTAGCATGGAAACTTATTTTATTTCCCTAAATAGGATTTACTGCTATCTAATATACTCTTGTTTAATTATGTCTCCCCAACTAGAAAGAAAGATCCAAGAGAACAACCGTTTTGTCCCCCTCATGCTTGGCACGTAGAGAGCAAATAAATGAATCTAAACTTCCCACTTCCTTGGGTGGCAGAGTTGATTTGCACAAAGGTCGCAGCAAGTATGCTTTAAAATGTGTATGCGCTGTATGCTAACATAAAAATAAATAAATTAAATTAAATTAAATGTATATTCAGATTTCAGGGGCACCTGGGTGGCTCAGTCCAGTGAGCAAATAACTCCTGGTATCCACTGAGGTCATGATCTCATGGGTTGTGGGGACAGAGCTCTTCCCGGGGAGGTTGGGGGTGGGGTGCTCAGCGGGGAGTCCGCTTCAGATTCCTTCTCCCTCTGCCCCTCCCCCCCTAATAAATCTTTTTAAAAATGTATATCTAGATTTCAGGATAATTGCGTTGAATATTTTATGATTCACAATACCGGGAGAGGGGAGTGATATAAAAGTTTAGTCACTTTCCCTCAAGCAGCGACTGATGACATAGGTGCTGGAATTTTTGCTGCAATATGAAAGCCACTTCCTCTGACATAAGGTCCACTGCCAAGTGTGGCTGTTGCCACATCCTCTGATAAAGAGTTCATGATGGCTAGGTTGGTTGGGGTGGTCAGGATTCCAGAAACTCACACTTAAAAAGGGATAAGTGGAGCGGTCAGACGACCAAGCGTTAATCTACAGGAGGATCTCTGCGGATTCGTCATCCCCCACCCCGATTCTCTGCCTTGGGGTTCCCCTTCTACCGCGTTCCGCTGCTTCCTTTCACCTTCAGACCCCAGACGCACTGCAGGATCAAACCTTGCTCACCCCCAAGCCTCCAGGGGGCGAGGTCACCGAATCCCACGTCACATGAGTGGAGACGCGCGCGGGTGCCAGCAGACTCCCGGAAGGTTCAGAGGCAGCGACCAGTGCCTAGAGCTCGCTCCGGCAGTCGTGACCCTCCCTCGCAAACGCACAGACTTCAGCTGGTCCCGCCCCGCCCCTAGCTCCGCCACGGCCCCGCCCACCTAGACTCCGCCTCTGGCTCCGCCCTCGTCCCGCCCCTCTCGGCCGCGCTTACTCTGCGGCCGACAGCTACAGCGCCAGAGCCGGCAAGCGGGTGGCTGTCGTTGCCGGTCGTTCTCGTCTTCCCGCGTCACCGCTGCCGCCATGCCCGGAGGTCTCCTTCTCGGGGACGAGGCTCCCAACTTCGAGGCCAATACTACCATCGGCCGCATCCGTTTCCATGATTTTCTGGGAGACTCGTAAGTGGCCACCTCGTAGCCTGCCGTCGGGTTACGCCCGGCCGCGGAGGCGCCTTCCCTATTTCTTCTCCCTTCGGTCCTCCTTCCCGCTCAGCCTCCAGCTCGCCGCCCGCCTCCTCCCCGCACCGGTTCCTGCACGTGCCTCTGGCTGAGTGGCCTCTGCCCAGCGTCGGCCGAGCGCTGCTGGGGGCCGGCCCCCGGATTCGCTCCCGCCGGCGGCCCCCCTCGTGGCTGAGCGAGCTCCGCGGCGGGAAAGGGGGAGGGGAACGAAATTGGGTTCCCGCAGGTCCGGGAACCCGAGGCGGATGGAGGCCTGGTTGCCTATCGCACTCGGTTTAGTAAGCGGTGCCAAGGAGCGCGGTCAGGCCGAGGCCCGGAGGGGGAAGGGGCCGGGCGGCATCAGCGGTCACGTCCCGGGATTCGTGCCCAGGGTCGCACCTCCCTCCCTCCTTCCGTTCTGGAATTTGCTCCCGGGGGAAGGTGCGTGTTAAAGGCCATGGTCTGAGGACACTCCTGCTGGCTGAAGGTTCGGAGCAGCCCAGCGCGTTATCTGAAGTCCCGCTTGCTGCAGTGGCATTTGCAGGCTTCTCGACAGAAAACGTAAATTTAAAACCACCAGCTCCCAAATAACTGGCTAAAAGACTTGGAGTCCAGAGCCTCTTGCAGTGGCTGGGCCATGATTTGATAACAGCTCTGGGAGGAACCAAGAACACTCTGTCTGTAGGTGTGTCCTTCATTCCAGAACTTGAAACACTGTGCGGGGGAGGGCTTTCTGAGGTTGCTGCGTTGCAGTGGCGCGTGTTTGCCTTCCCGCCGCCGCAGGCTCTTGGGGCGCCAGCACTCGTGTACCTCCCGGCTTTGGAGACCCTTTTGTTTCCCAGTGTGTGCCCGTCACCGCTTCCTGTCCCCTGCTGCCCTGCTTCCCGCACGTGGCCTTGCTGGAGATAGCCAGATCAGGCCTGGCAGTACCATTACGACTAGGAGTAAATCGGTGTTCCCTGGTTTTACATTTTATAGTTACTGAATCAGCAAGCTTTCGAGTTGATTAGTTTTAACCTGAAAACATCCCAGAGATGTGTCATTATAATATTATGGTTCTGGAGTTCCAGCAGCCCCACCACACTGGTTTTCCTTTTTTTTTTTTTTTTTCTTTTTCTAAATTATTGAAGGACAATTGGCACACAGTGTTTCATTAGTTTCAGGTGCATAACAAAATAATTAAGACAATTTGGTATATTACTCTGTGCTCATCACAGTGAGTGTAGTGACCGTCTGTCACCACGCATTACGATGTTATTGACTCTATTCCCCAAGCTGTACTTTCCTGCGAAGTACTAACTTTGTTAGGACAAAGTAATAACTGCAAGTTTGTACCACTTAATTCCCTTCATCTATTTCACCCATCCCCCCCACCCCCTCCGGCAGTCACTGGTTCTTTGTATTTATGAGTCTGTTGCTGGCTTTTTGTGTGTGTGTAGGTTTTGCACTGTGAGGTGGTACGGCTTCACAATTCCTCCATGATTTGTATACTTTTTATTCACAGCGTCCAAGTATAGGTGTGTATAGACAGAGGGAAGTTTATGAGATTAATTAGTAACTCGGTGGGGCTATGCAGAGAATCTGGGAGAGATTCTTACATTGTCGGCCTACACATCGCCTTAAAAATTCCTTAAGTCCATTGTCTAGCCTCTGATTATGGGAAAAGCTAAACTTTGTGAAAGACAGGACTAGGCTAGAAAAAAAGATGAGAAATGGAACATTCAGACCTTAAATGTAGGAGGAGACCTCAGATATATAGAATGTGTCCAATCTCATAATCTAGGTATTAGTGTTCTCCCAAAAGTCCATGCGATTTTCAGGATATATGTTTCTTCCTATTCCCATCTATAGCCTTCACCCCCGTACAGCAAAATCTTACTGGAACTCTCAGATTGTATAGGTTAAAGATAAATAATAATATATGTGCCAATAATTATAAATACTGCAACTGTTTAAACTAACCCTACTCTTTGGGTTTCTTTTTGTTGTTATTTATTGGCCCCTGGATCTATCTTGATTTCATTGAAAGTGGTACCTTCTCAGGGAGCCACCAGGAGGAAGATGAGAAAAACACCTGCATCTATAAACAAGTAATATTACAAGGGCTGCCTCGGATCAGGCATGATCCCTCCCTTACCCCAAAAAGAAGTTTGAGCTCTTTATATAATTACAACAGAAGGATTTTGCCTAATACAGTTTTTCTCGACTCCATTCTGTGCATGATCTCAGTTCAGATGGTACTTTTTGATCCAGGTTGGGTTTTTTGGAGGAAAAAAAAAATTCAAACATTACAGGTATCTGCCCTACCTCTGACAATTGGAAACAACTAAGGGGGTTGGGTGCTGCATTTGGTGAATTTTATCACTATTTTTGCATGTATGTGGTAGAAGCAGCTGCTTCACAGTACATTTTTACCAAACAAAGCGTGTTCTCCTGGTATTTTCTGGAGGTGAGTGGGGACCCTTCCCTTAAAGGATGAAACCTTTTGTCTTTTGAAGATGAGGAAGGAAATGGGATAATGTAATTGAACTACTTTTAAGAGCACAGTAAAGAGACTTGGAGGGGAAGGCAGGCTGTAATAAGACAGTCTTGAGAGTTATCCTCTTTGGCAAACTGGAGTGTGGCTTCTGAGGGGGACAGGATGTGAAGTGGCTTAAACTCAGTTCCTTAGCATGATTCAGCAAAAACCTTCTCGACACAATGGAAAGTTGTATGTCTAACACTTACAATTTCATCAACCATTAACAACACAGGAAGAAATGACCTGTTTATTTTTCTTTAACTTTTTTTTAAAAGACTTTATTTATTTATTTGACACAGACAGACACAGGGAGAGAGGGAACACAAGCAGGGGGAGTGGGAGAGGGAGAAGCAGGCTCCCCTCCAAGCAGGGAACCAGATATGGGACTCGATCCCAGGACCCTGGGGTCATGACCTGAACCGAAGGCAGAGGCCCAACGACTGAGCCACCCAGGCGCCCCACCTGTTTATTTTTTTCTCAACTCCTGGAGACTTTCTCTTGAGTCTCATCTGACACTTAAGCCGATCCTTTTCTGCAAAATCTAAGACCTAGATTTTACCCATGCCTAGATTATTTTCAAAAGATATATATCCCTCTTACCGCCCTTTATAGAAAAGTAAACCTACCGCAATCCTCCAGGATCTTAAAAATACTACCTCTCTCTTCCCAGTTTTGGCATAGGGCCGTCTATCCTTTTTGTGGGAAGACTTTTCCTCTCCTGAAGCCTTGGGAGTCTAAGTGACAGACGTAGGTGGGAAGGAGGAAGTACCCTTGTCTCTGCTTTTGTTCTCTGTGCTTCAGGAAACTTGTGAACTTTTGAGAGGTCAGCTTGACATCTAGGCTATATTTAGTAATCTAGTAGTTTAGGATCCTGGTTTAACGTCAGCAAGGATTGTGAAGAACCGAGTGTTAAATTTTCCTTTTCAGTCATAGGAGTAGTTTCAGTTGCAGAGGAGAGGGAAAGTGTAGTCCAAAAGTTCTTGGTGACTGTTAGCTTGAAATGTGCTTAAAATCCCTACAGAGTTTTACTTTAGCTAATGATGATTATTTAAATAGTAGGATTTACCTGAGAATCTGTGGTTGTGAAAATCTGTTGTAGGCTCTCGGCGTTGTGCCCACTTGGTCGAAAACAAGAAGAAGAAACTGCAAACAGACAGGCAAAACTGTTTTGTCAGGGTGCAGAGATCGGGTGTCCTGTTTGGCAGGCTGGGTCAGTAAAGTCGATTTAACAAAAGTTTTTATATCCATTCACTACAAAGAAGCCAAGTGTCAACTTTAATTTTACATATAAATAGGGGATAGAAGCCCATTTATTTCAGATTACATAACCTGCTTATTATTGCAATCAGGGATTTGTTTGGATTGGGGCACATTGGGACATCCATTGTTGAAGCTGAATGTCAGGGTCTCCGTGCCTAGGAAAAAAAAATAGAAGTGAGTAAGTGGGCGGGGAGGTGGGGAGTTACTTCAGGAAGTTTGTTGGTATGAGTAGCACAGATTTTACGAGCTGAAAAGAGTCAGGGTGGCCCTGTAGTTTATATTAAAGGAGGTGACACCCTTAAATTAGAGTCTTTTAAGGCATATATCATGTGGAATTTCATATCTTTGGTTGAATTGGGCTTTAAACATGGGCTATTCTGGAAGTAAGAAAATCAAAGCATTCCTCAACAAAAATCTAAAAGTAATTGTCCTCATAAGCGCATTCCTTTAAAAAAGAAAGTCATTTTTGACCTAGGATTTGTGATCTTCTCCAGTAAGTTGTGACTTCTTTTTCCTTTCTTTCAGATGGGGCATTCTCTTCTCCCACCCTCGGGATTTTACCCCCGTGTGTACCACGGAGCTTGGCAGAGCTGCAAAGCTGGCACCAGAATTTGCCAAGAAGAACGTTAAGATGATCGCCCTTTCAGTAGACAGTGTTGAAGACCATCTTGCCTGGAGCAAGGTATAGTACCAATTGGCATGTGCTTTGAAATTATAGATCAAGTTAAAAATTATGTAGAGTAGCTTGGTTTGTTTTTGTTTTTGTTTTAATTTTTAATTTAAATTCACTTTAGTTAACATATAGTATATTAGTTTCAGAGGTAGAGTTCAGTGATTCATTAGTTGCATAGAACACCCAGTGCCCATTACAACATGCCCTCTTTAATGCCCGTCACCTGAGTTACCATCCCCCCCACCCCCCTCCCCTCTAGCAACCCCCAGTTTGTTCCCTATAGTTAAGAGACTCTTACAGTTTGCCTCCCTGTTTTTATCTTACTTTATTTTTTCCTTCTCTTCCCCTATGTTCCTGTTTTTCTTAAAGTCCACTTATGAGTGAAGTCATATGGTATTTGTCTTTCTCTGACTGACATGTTTCACATAGCATAGTATCTTTTAGTTCCATCCACATTGTTGCAAATGGTAAGATTTCATTCTTTTTGATGGCTGAGTAATAGTCCTGTGTGTGTGTGTGTGTGTGTGTGTGTGTTTGTGTGTGTGTGTATGCGCGCATGTACTACATCTGTCATCCGCCAGTGGACATCTAGGCTCTTTCCATATTTTCCTTGTTGTAGACATTGTTGCTATAGACACTGGGATGCACATACCCCTTTGAATCATTATTTTTATATCCTTTGGATAAATACCCAGTCGTGCAATTGCTGGGTCACCAGGTAGTCCTGTTTTTAACTTTCTGAGGAATCTGCATACTGTTTCCCAAAGTGGCTGCACCAGTTTACATTCCCACCAACAGTGTAGGTGCGTTCCCCCTTTCCGCATCCTCACCAACACCTGTTGTTTCCTGAGATGTTAATACTCTAAGTATCTTGGTTTTTTTTGTTTGTTTGTTTGTTTTTTTAAAGATTTTATTTATTTATTTGACAGAGAGAGATCACAAGTAGGCAGAGAGAGAGAGGGAAGCAGGCTCTCTGCCAAGCAAAGAGCCTGATGTGGGGCTCGATCCCAGGATCCAGAGATCATGACCTGAGATGAAGGCAGAGGCTTAACCCACTGAGCCACCCAGGTGCCCCTAAGTATCTTGGTTTTTTGAGGTAAAGGTACAAGTGACCTTAGATTCACTGATTTTTTTTTTTTTTAAGACTTTATTTATCGCAGGGGTGGTGGGGCACTGAGAACATGGAGAGTGAGAGGAAGAAGCAGAGAGCCCCATGTGGGGCTCAATCCAGAATCCTGAGAGATTATAACCTGAGCTCTAAGCAGTTGCTTAACTGACTGAACTGCCCGGGCGCCCCTCAGATTCACTGATAATCTGAAAGTCTGACTTAGACCACACTGTGACCTCTGCCTTTGCTAAATGCAATGCTTGGTTCTTAGCCCTGCTCGCTCTTGGCCTGCTAGGAGCCTTTAACCCAGTGATCACTATATTCTGAAACCTCTCTCGGCTTCCAGACACCACATCTGTAGCTGTTCTGCTTACTCTCAGACTGAGCTCCATCCCTCAACTCCTAATTTATGCTGGAGTTTCCCTGGACACATTTCGTGGATGCCTTCTCTTTTTATCTACACCTTTCCCGTTGGTGAAGTCATCCGGTCACCCCTAAATGCTGTAATTCCCAAATTTCCACCTCTCGTTAGACGCTGCTGGCTTTCCGACTGATACAACCCACGCCAGCTCAGCCTCTGGGATGTCCCGTCACCTCATACCTAGTATGTCTAACACAGGCTTCTTTTTTCTTAATCCAAGGTCTTACTCATCTTAGAAAACGCTGTGTTTTCATAGTTGCTCAGGCCAAAAAGCCAGGCATCGTCCTCAAGGTCTCTGGTTTTTCCATACCTGTGTCCAAGTCATGAGTAAATTCATCTCCTCCACCTTAAAATTACCCTTAATCCTATTTTGAAGACTCTCCACCCAGGTTGTGGCTTGCCCTCACGTCCTTCCGGTCTTGACTCATTAAAGCCTCCCATGGCCTCATTATCTAAGATTATAACTCTGCCCCACACTCCCTAGCCCCCTCTGATTGATTTTCTCCTTAGCACTTGTCACCGTCTAAAAGAAAATGCTCTGCACTTGGCTGGTTTCGTGTGTCCATTTGTCCACACCCAGCGGAGTAGAGGCTCGGCCAGGCAGGCCCCCGTTCTGTGCACTGCTGAACCGCGCTTGATGCCCGGTACATCCAGGTGGTTGGTCCGTACATGCACAATGTAGGAACTGAAGGAGTGGCCTGCTGGCAGCAAAGGATGTACTTGCCCAGTAAATGTGGTGATCTAGGCTGAACTAAAGAACATTATGATGGCTTCGCTGTGATATGCCACTGAATAATGCTGATAGGTCAGCTCGGAGGGATGGACCATGTACCACGCACTGTGCCAAGCGCTTCACTGTACAACTGAATAAAAGATGTCCCGACTTGGGAGTTGGCCACCTGGGGCTGCATCCCTTGGCCATTTTATTTATGCTCATTGATTCTCGGTGTCTGAGAGGAAAAGAACCATATGCAGGAGAAAAGAGAAGCACATTGCTCTTTCTCAGAGTGGAATTCCTTCTCATTCCTTACTTCTGGCTGTGAATAGCGGCTGTCTTTCTACAGCGATCTCACGGGCTGTTTCTCCTTTGTTTCCAGGAGCAGCCCTGGAGGTATGTGGTTCGTGCCCTCGTGTTTGCCACTGAGAATACCTTTTCCTCCCACAGAGCTGGAGGGACTTTCTCAGGATTGTCCTGCTGTAAAATGATGGCAGTGGCCTGTTGGAACCTCACACCAGTGCTGTTGTGATGCTAGGTGCTAGAGGGCAGGCATTAGCCCGATTTAGGATACAACAGAGGCAAAGTATGTGGTTCATTGGTGCTCATGGATGTCACGGAATACCCATTGGGCAAGCGGCAGTGTTGACAATTGATGGTATAGTGATCGTTAAATCGAGAGATCACTGAAGGAAGAGCTTATCGCCTCTTGTATAACATCTCTTAAAGCATTTTGGCTGGTGAGCTGCTGCTGTAGAATTTTCCCAGTTGGGATTGCATTCAATAGGAGACACGTCCCAACTGTCAAAAACAGTGACATTCAGCTAATTAAAGAGGAAACTTCACGGTGCCTCTCGCACGAATCCATATGGATCATTTTTTAGGTGTGATGACTTGGTAGGGAGCCAGTGACAAGAAAAGGGAAGCTAATGGGGCCCCTGGGTGGCTCAGTGGGTTAAGCCTCTGCCTGCGGCTCAGGTCATGATCTCAGGGTCCTGGGATTGAGCCCTGAATCAGGCTCTCTGCTCAGCAGGGAGCCTGCTTCTCACTCTTTCTCTCTGCCTGCCTCTCCACCTCCTTGTGATCTCTGTCTGTCAAATAAAGAAATAAAATCTTAAAAAAAAAAGAACTGATGGACTTAATGAACCCCTTATTTCAGATGGTGTTTACTTGTTGGGAATCTGGTGGTGCTTTGGATTGGGATCTAACTCTACAGTAATCAACTCTGCTGCTTTCTTTCTTGCTGCTTCAAACAGTAAAAGCATGCCAATTTTTAAGAGGACTGGCCATGAAAAGGGTCTACAGTTATAACCTAAGTACTGTTCCACACTGTTCTTTCTGACAGTGACTGATTGGGATAAGGGGTGTTCATTCATTCATTTTCTTACTCAGATTGCTTATAGAGTAAATTACGATTGTGGTCCTCTTCCCCCATCTTGCAAGATAATAGCTGTTAACTGATTGAATTCAGAAGATGTGCTTGGTTTAGATTTCTTTTTCCTCTCTCACCTGCATTTCAGGATATCAATGCTTACAATGGTCAGGAGCCCACAGAAACATTACCTTTCCCCATCATTGATGATAAGAATCGGGACCTTGCCATCCTGTTAGGCATGCTGGACCCAGCGGAGAAGGACGAAAAGGGCATGCCTGTGACAGCACGTGTGGTGAGTGTAGAAATCCATTACAGAGTCCTCACGACTGGTCAGGCTCTTCGTCTGATTGAGTGCTTGCACCAGCTCCAGGAAACGGGACTATCTCTGATTGCAAAATAAATTAGTGGCAATCTCACGGAGCATCTGTACTGCTAATGCAAAGTAAAATTTTCAGCTAAATTTTAAAGTTGCTGAATTTGACAGCTTTTGGAAATCTGCGTAAAATAAGTAGTTATCCTAAGATGTCATCTAGAAGTGGGGAATCTTTTCTCCAGCTCTCCTAACAGCCCTCTCCAAAGTGGTGGGCTATCCCCGTTCCCATAAGGCATTTCTGGCTTGGAATTTCTACTTGTTCTGTCCTTACCCACTAGAGAACAAACTTAGTCCCTCAGCTGCAAAACTGTACAATTATTTAAGGACGAGGATCAACTCCCATTAGTATATTTTAAGATAATCATCCCCAGTTAACATAGTACCTTCTCAGGGCCTTTCTGGATTCAATTTGAGTATCAGGTGTTCTTACTGAGACAGCCAGAGCCAATAGAATGCCCTTCTAAGTTTAGAAAAATAACATGGAGGGGGCCACCTGGCTGGCTCAGTCGGTAGAGCATGTAACTCTTGATCTTGGGGTTGTGAGTTCGAGCCCCATGTTGGGTGCAGAGATTGAAAATAAAGAATAAAAAATAAATCTTTAAAAAAAAAAAAAAACATGGAGAATAAAGTTCTCTAAACCCCAGCCACCTAGATTAACAGTTTGCTGTATCCTTCTAGATGTTCTGGGACGGGGCGGGTAGAGGGTTGTTCTATATGTTTTTTAAACACCCTTGAACATTTCTAATGACTGATGAACTTGCAGAGAGGCTGTAATATCAAAAACACTTAAAGAATTCCTCTATTTATGCATTTGTGTGCTTTGCAGGTGTTTATTTTTGGTCCTGACAAGAAACTGAAGCTGTCCATCCTCTACCCAGCAACAACCGGCAGGAACTTTGATGAGATTCTCAGAGTAATTACCTCTCTCCAGCTAACAGCAGAAAAGAGGGTTGCCACCCCGGTTGATTGGAAGGTAAAGATGTTAAAAGGGCAGGTGCTCATGCTGTCTGTAAGGTCCTACGGGCTGATCTCTCAGTGGCTGTCTTCAGGGTCATTGTTACCTGGGGATCTTTTTCTGACATGCACACACACTGGCTGGAGTTCTCAGGGCTGAGTTTCCAATTTGCCGTGAGGCTATTCTCAGACTCTTTGACACTTTATATAATAAAATGCACACTCCCTACATTGGCTTCCTAACTTCTAGATCATTTGATCAAGTTAATTGGTCAGAATGATGCCTTTTAAAATAAGAGAATTTTTTTTTAAAACCTTTAACTCTTCCCCAAATTAGCAAAATGATGGCAGAATAGTTATAGCTAGACTTAGATTGGCCACTTCAGACATGGCTCTAAAACACTGGTGTATTAATGTCACGGAGCATTTCATTTCTCTTAAGCTTCATTCGGTCTTTTAAACTCATGTAGAATTCTTGGAATCTTGTTCATAAATTTTTAATTTCTAGGATTTCTGCAAAAGGTAGGACAGGGATATCCCAAGGGTAATTTCATGTAGCTACATTTTTTTTCAAAATACGCTAACCTGAATACCAGGTTGCGTCTTGTTATTCCTGACAGGCAAATCACTTAAACTCTGTATATCCATCCACCGAACATGTGTTTACTGAGCCAGGGCAGTGGACACTGGGATACAGCAGCAAACAGTATAAATCGAAATGTAAATAGAAGTCCCTCCCCTCCTAGAGCTCACACTCCAGTGGGTGGAGACAAACAGTAAGCAAGTCTCCTGTGTGTTAGGTGACAATGAGTGTGGCAGAGTAATCAAGCAGAGGTGGCAAGAATGGGAATGCAGGAGTGGGAAGGTTGGTTTTATAACTGGCTGTCAAGGAAGGCCTTTCTCTGAAGGGACCTTTGGGAAAGACACAAAACAAGGGACCAAGTCACACGAATTTATGAGAGAAGAGCCCTGCTGGCAGCAGGAACAGCTGGAAAGCAAGCTTGGTGGGTTCGAGAAACAGAAGAAAAGCCAGCGTGCCTGGGAGAGGAGGAGCAGGAAGTGGGGTGAGGAGCCGGGGATGAGAGCAGAGGCAGGAATCATTGACACAGGGAAGCAATGAGGACTTAGAATTAACATTTTTTAAAGTGTGATGCCAAGCCATCACTGGGTTTAAAATAAGACTACTACTTGTTAACATAGGGAAATAGTTCTCTCACAAAAATGTCACCCTGTGCAAACAAAATTCCTCAGAGGGGAGAGAGCAACCAATACTGAGTTCTTCCCAGGAGCACCTGTAGCTACTTTCTAAAGTCAACTCTTTTAATAAAGAATTTATTTGCTGAGTCAAAAGTCAACTCTTGCCTTTAAGGTTCCCTCTAAGATCGGATTTCACCATTTCTCAATGTCTTTGAACAGGACGGAGACAGTGTGATGGTTCTTCCAACCATCCCTGAAGATGAAGCCAAAAAAATCTTCCCTAAAGGAGTCTTCACCAAAGAGCTCCCCTCGGGCAAGAAGTACCTCCGCTACACGCCCCAGCCGTAGTCTCCAGCCGAGGTCTCCGGGGAGCTGGTGCTGGAGCTGGAGCTGTTGGCTTAGCTTAATGAGCCAGACGATGCCGGCTGCCAATCGTGTTCTCCTACAACTCTTCGTAAAAACATCCTGGTGTGATCACAGTCAAGGTCTTTAGGTTGCTCTACTACTGGCTTATTAAATGAAAATGGCACTAAAAATTTCTCGGGATCCTTTACTCTGTGCCTTCACCAGCATTCAGCTCCCTTCGTGTACCTTAGCGCACTCCTCCGCTGACTCTTTGAAACACGGTCTGTAGGAGAGGCTCGGATCTCGGATCTCTACGGGATTTGGGATCAGTGAGGTAGTGTTGAAAAAGCCTGCTTTGCTCCATCATAGAATGACTCTGTTTTTCAGCTCTTCTGATCAAACCCAGAACTTGAGGTTCGGAGTCAGTCCTCTGTGATGAGCGTGCGTACAACCCCAAAACTGAGCGTACCCAGATGTATCTTCACAGCAGGGGCAGAGAACCTTTCATTTCTCTACTTTTTCAGGAGATAACAAGTGGGATAAACAGGGGAAGGATCTTTTAAGTATTTTGCTATAAAGAAAACGTTTCGGTAAATTTCTGTCAAAAGAGAAAGGCGGCTTGCCTGCGGGGGAGGTGTATCGGTGCCCTGTGCCTTTCATACAAAGTATTTCCGTCTGTCAGTCTGCACTTCGCTGATGGACGCCAGCAAGGGCACACCTTGGGAAGAGAAGAGAAGATGATGGCAAATGTTTTATTCTAGAACACTTCTTGTAGTGAGGTGGGTGGGGCTGTTTTCTGACTCTTGCCTTTTGGGAATCAGCAAATAAATTCTTTATTAAAACTGGAGCAGAGGATTCTGTCGTCACGTCTTGAAGCACTAGTTTAGACTCTGTCCTGCAGGGCAGAGGTCTGCTTGCCTGAATTGGCATTGGTACTTTTTCTCCAAAGGCAGATCCATAAAATTTCATACAATGAAAGTCCAGGAGCAACGGACGAACAAGGATTTTTCACAACTCTTGGCCCACTTTGCTCCTTCCTCTTGGTTCCCTTGGGTCCTTGAGTTTGTGACTCCCGCTGTGAAGAGCTATTAGTTGGATTACTAGGCTTAATCTTGAGAATAGGACGTCTGCGCTCTTCTGGAAAGGATACTAACTACTAACTAACTACCCTGAGCTCATGGTCTCTCAGACTTTCATTAGGCCATGCTAATAGGTCGTGAGTTTGGAGGTTGTCTCTTGCCTGTAGCCCTTTATATTTTTATTGAGTTTGATAATATAAAAGGTGATGCCTGGTACCAGGTGTTAGGATGGGTCATTCAGTCTTTAGTTTCCTTGAATTCTCCACATGTAAAATTCTAGTGATACCAGGAAGGTTAAGAATGGAGTGAAAATTCCCAAGTTACCCAATATCCTGAAGAATGCCATCTATAAGACCAGAAGACTGGTTTTCCTGCTTTTGCCTCTTCAAGTAATAGTATGTTTTGCCAGTTAAAATTCATCTTAAGGTGATATAGGTGTGGACACCTGACAGTGCTGGCCCAGGATGAGGTCCATTCCTGACAATAAGGCAAAAACCTCATAAAGAGAACTCCTTGCCCTCATTTTGCCAACCTGAGGCTCAAAGTCCCAGGCCCGACCTTGAGGGAAGAGGCTGCAGCCTAGCTTCACGGTAACCTCAAGCAGCTGCACCCGCGTGCCCTCCCCTGCCCCCATTTCCAGGCATGTTGTTACCTTAATAATAGAATAAGTCACATGGATGAAGGGTAAGGCATAGGGGAATATTGTCAGTACTACTCTAATAGCGTCATGGGATGACAGATGGCTTCACTTGGGGTGAACACAGCATAACGGTTAGAGAAGCTGAATCAGTAGGTTGTACACCTGAAACTAATGTAGCATGGTGTGTCAACATGGTTATAAAATGAGAAAAAGGAAGATGAAGCCTTTGTGGTTCAGTCATGGTGGCCGGGTTCCTGCATGTGTAGCCACATCCAGAATTTGCTGACGCTGGTCATCTGCACTGAAATAACTGCCCTAGTATGCGAGGTACCCAGAGGTTCTGAAAGGACCTACTTTCTCTCCCCTTTTCTTCTATTCTTACCTCTATCCTGGTTTTCCCTAAAGTTGAGAACGAATATCCTTTCAAAATCTTGTTAAAATGAAAAGGGATAACGGATTCCAGATAATAAACAACCAGGCCATAAAACTAAACTTTATTTGACTTTTAAAAAGAAATTGAAAAGTGATACCAAACAGTATTATGCAGTGTAAAATTGTTAATTTCTCCTGAACTTTGCTTTCACTAACTAAGATGGTAGAACATAGTTCTGTTTTTCAACATAGTTACTAAGTCGGGGAGGGAGGGAATAACTTCTCTGGAAAATGTTAGGGAGGCAATGACAGCATATCAAATTATAGGTCCCTATGCTTCAGTCTAATACCAATACTCCTAAGAACTTTTATTACTCTTGTAAATTGCTACAGCTCTTTGGTTTCGTTTGGTAGGCCTTGAATTAATTGCATTATGATCCTGACAAATTTTTGAACATCTCAGGTATGATGCAACTGCTTCAAATTAGAGCTTTTACAGCAGTCCATCAGTTTTTAAATAAATACAGCAGTTCACTGTTCCAGCAACTTCTAACTAATCTCCTTGCCAGGTAATCCTTCGGCACTTGGGCCAGGAGGTTAGCTCAGTCTTCACCCTAACTCTGCATATCACATCAGCAGCGTTAGTATTCTTTCCTAAAATGGGATCCACTTGCCAACAACACAAGAAACTCAAAAAGCAAAATATTAAGACAGCGTTTCAGGAGAAACGTTTTTAAGTATTAACTGCCATCAGAAAACTTAGAAGTTTCTATTTTATCATCTGGAACATTCCCTCTAAAAAATATTCTTTATTAAGGGCTTTGAGAGACATTTGCATCTCTAGATCATCAGACACCCTCTTGTGAAGAGATACTGTGTTAACTCAGCAAGAGTAGTCCAACAAAGGTGCACCTCGGGAAAAATGTCAGGTGAGTTGAATTCCCGGTTAACTTTGTGACTGATTCCAGGATAACTGGAAACCTCTTTCCTAAAGAAAATGAGAATTTTTGTTAAATAACGGGGCCCGGAAAAGACAGACAATGAGGAGTCAGTTAAGTCAATTACTTGACTCCCAATTAGGTTCCTATTTGTGAAAAAGTGCCCTTTTTAAGAAAGGAAAGGTGGACCCTAAGAAGGCTGCCTAAAAAGAACTAAGTTACTTTCTTAGGAACCATCCTCAGTCATACATTTGGTCAGTGCAACTTTCTTTCCCCCCAACAAATCACCCTATCACAGATGACTGTGCAGGCCCACAATTCTATTAAAAGGGTCTTAGGGTGACTGGTTGGGCCTACAATAGGTCACGGGACTTCTGAAACTGCATAGATGGCACATCATTTTCCCTTGGAAAGCATATTTATTTGGGGTGACTTCACAACTGGGAAAGAGAGGGTGCTGAAGGGCCCACCTGTGCATTTGCCTAGCACCCTAATGCCCTGTCAGTGCCGTCTTCACTCAGCTGCGTAGGCTTGGGCCCAAAGGAGCTGTGTTAGTGACCCTGACAGGAACCCCTCTAGTAACTAGCCTCGCAGGTCCCCCACTCCCCAGACTTCCCTCCACTCTGTCCTGGCCCCATATGACCAGCCCTCCCCTCTCTTACTCTACATGCTTTCCAGCACTTCTCAAGCTTTTCCAAATTGGCCCCGGTTGCTGAGGAAAGCAGGCAAAGATGTCAGGGTAAAACTAACGTGACTCTCCTAACAAAATGGTTTGAAGTCTCCTGGTTTATCTTAAAAATTCATGCAAATTTGTCACCCTACTGCATAATATGCTTGTTTTAATATAAAACATTTCAAGTAACCTAATGGTTAAATGAGTTTCCTCCCTTTAAAAGAGCATCAAGTAAAAGTGATCTTCTAGGAAGATTTCTGGAATCCGCCTGTGGTTCTAAATGTCCCGGGGATCCCCCCCCAAAGGGAGAGGCACAGGCATTCAGACACTAATGTCTAATCTTGCTCGTGGCCTGACCCTCCCCATCCCTAACGTGCCTGTAGGGGCGCCTGGGTGGCTCAGTCGGTTAAGTGTGGGCCCCTGGGTCCTGCGGTGGAGCCCCATGTTGATCTTCCTGCCTGCTTCTCCTCCTCCTCCCTGCATGTGCTCTTTCTCGCTACCTCTGTCACTGTCTCTCTCGGTCTCCAATAAATAAATAAAATCTAAAAAAAAAAAAGTGTCCCATAGATTCCACGATGGGGCCATCGTGGGAAGGAGGTCAAGAGGGAGGAAATTGGGACGGGGGACCTGGGGCAAAAATCACATCTTTCAAAAAAATTCCATCATTTTAATTGTTAAATAATTCAGATGTGCTTTATCCCAATTTTTTCGGTCAGTGAGCTGCCACTAAGGGTCTCTCTTCTCACCCCCGTACCACCCATATTTTGCTACTTGGCTTCACAGCTCCTTGCAGCTAGGTAGTTTACTATTCACGGTAAAAAAAAATCTAATCCAAGTGTCAAGTTTATTACCTCGTTTTTTCTCTTCCAATTATTTTCTCTCTGAGTCATTCGAAGACCAGTGTTGACTGAACCCGTCCGGATACATGCATCAGACAGAAAAACTGAGTTAGGGGTTTAAGAGTAAAAGTAGCAGAAGACTATTCTGAAATATCAATTTGCTTTCTCCCAGTAGGTCTCCTATTTCCCTTCTCCCCTCTCATCTGGGCTCTAGCATCTTTCCTCAGGGAGGTTTGCTATTAGGCTCCCAAAAGCCCCAGTCACGGGCTGGCAAACTCAAATGAGAACAGGCAGGTCACACAGACAAGGCAGTGGGCTGTATCTAAGACAAGAGGGCAGGGTGTGGACTGTGGCCAACTGCACAGCATGTTTTTCCCCTATGCTCAGCTCCACGTGTTGGCACATATAGGAACAAGGACCCAGTGTTGGCATGCTTTGAGTTTTTCAAGAAAAGCTCAAAATCTGGATTTTTTTCTTACATGTGGAATGTTTAAATGCTCCTACTTTGCAACTTAAAAATTTGCAGACAAAGCATGTGGGCGGATCATACACACCCAGTCCTTGAGCCTATACCGTGTGTGACTTTTGCCCCAAATTCACTGGCAAATACAGAGTGATAGAGGACCATCCATCTAAAACTGGTAGATTGCAGGGAGCCTGAAGAAGGAGAGAGGCCTACAGGCCCA